CAATAAGAGGATTTTAAGTCATAGAGACTGTGATAGTTAAGTGCTTTGCTAAAATTATTAACACTGGTTTTCTAGAATCTAACTTATGTGGAAGAAAGGTACGTAGGGACTATACTGTATGTAGACAACCCCTTACCCGCATGTACAATGGACATGAGCACACGTGTTGTGTCAGCGTTCTCTTCCCAAATGTGGCTGCAGAAGAAAGTGCGAAGAAAATAAGACAATATTTACGGCTGAAAAAATTCGGCTTAACACACTGGTAATTATGAACAAGATATTTTCCCTAATAAAATTACTGCAAAACAGAATCTGGAGAAAGTGTTTCCCTATGTTCTCTTCATATTATTCCATGTGCTCAGGAATGGCCTCTGGAAAGAAAAGGAGACAGAGTCAAAGGCAGCAGAAAGAAAGAGAGCCACAGAGAGAAGGCCTCTGCTGAGGGTTGGTTTTGCTTTAGAAATTGGAATGTGTCCAGGCTTGATTTTTATTTTCAATTCACATTTCAGATCCAGCTTCCCAAACTCTTTGATCTTTCTCCCTGTCTCCTTACCCGGAAGAGAACCCTTGGCCTTCTCAGCTGGGAGCTGGGAGCACACGTGGAAAGACTGGCTCAGATCCATATTCTTGCCAAATTTAGTCACACAAAGGGGCCTACGAGGGAAAAAAGAAAGGATGAAAGCGGCAGCCGCCGGGACTTCAAAGGCCGCGCCGCCGCGCCAGGCGCTGTCTGCGCGCGTCCCCGACGCGGGGGGCGGGCAGAGGGAGGGGGCGAGGGCCCGGAGGAGCGGGTCCCGGCGTCCACGCTACCAGCCAGCGAGCGTCCCGAGGCCGGTCTGCCTGCCAAGTTAAGGCGCCTGAGAAAAGTTTTCAGAAAGGAGGGAAAAGAATGTCACGACCTGCCCACTAAGCGAACAGTCCGGCGGCTCGCAAAATTATTCCAGCTGCCACCTCGGTTCCAACTCCCTTCTGGGCATCCCCTTCCAGTCGTAACGCCTGCCCCTCCGTGTGGGAGTCCCGGTTCCCGTCAGAGCCGAGCCTCGAGGGCGCAGGCTGGGCTCTTTCTGGCTCATTCGGTTCCTCTGCGTCTGGCCCGCGTCCCCTGGCCCCTGTCGGCTGTCACCCGGGCTTGCGGCCTCGGGACGTGAGCCGGGAGGCCGAGGGGCGGCAGGCAGAGTGCACAGAGAGCGCGAGATGCCCCCCTCGCCGGCCGGGGAGGACCAGGGTCCTGGACGGCCGCGTCGCGAGCCCCTGTCCGTCGAGGCGCGGACGCTGGCGTCGGCCTGCAGCCCCCGAGCGCAGGAGAAGCCCCCGGAGGGCGCCAGGGGCGGGAAGACCTCGCTCGCTCGAGCCCAGCGAGGCCGGCCGAGCTGCAGACGCCAAGCGGTGCCCGCCCCGCGGAAGCCCGACGTCCGCAGGCGGCCGGATTTGGGAACATTTTCACGGTCCCACGATTTCCCTGTTACCCCGGAGGTTGGGGTTTTGAGTCTGTCTTAGGAGGAGGCAATTAGAGGCAGAAGAACCCCTGGGACACAAACTGCCACTCCCCACCCCCGCCGCCCTTTTCCGCGAAGTCCGTTAAACCGAAGATGCCCACAGCCCTGCCATCCTGGGGAAGCTGGGGCGGGAAATCGAAGGGGTCTGAGTTCCGCCTCTGGAATCACATTATTCGTTTTCTCGTCCACCTCCCGGGCTTCTCCCTCTTCCGTAGCCCCCCCCCTCCTTTCTTTGGGATCCCACCAAAGTTGTAGCTGGGAGAGAGTCCAGGCCACACAAAGGGGAAGACCCGGAGCCTGGGCGGGGGTGAGGACCCAGGGGGCGGAGAGGGCTGTGAGGGGCGCTGCGCTTCCCTCCCTGTAATGAAGGACTCGCTGGACTTTCGCCGGGGGGAGGGGTTTGTGGTGTGGGTGGGGGTCATACTCCTGGTCCCCCGGCTCCCCGCGGCGGGAGGCTGGGCTCCGCTTACCCTGCTGGCTGCGGGCCGCGCTCCGAGCCCCCTCTGCTCCGTTCCGGCGCGGGGAGGGCGCCCGGCCCCCCACGCGCAGCGCGGGCGACGGCGCCCTTTGCAGAAGGAAGTGTTGATATAAAACAAGTTCGCTCCCAAACTAAACCCAAACCAACCAAAGCCACCAGGAGGGGAAAAACCAACAGCCATTCTGCCAGCCCTGAGCAATTGTTTCACGGTCGGAATTAAATCACATCAAAACGCCCCCTGAAACCCACATCCTGAAGGAGTGAACCTACAACAGCCAACCTCCAGTCGTTCGCTCGAGTTCACACGAACAACCTGCGTCTACATCCGAGGGAAGGGGGCGGCTGGCGGTGGTGCTTCTCCCGCGCCGCACCCACCACATCCCGGACCTGGGATCCTACTCGCTGCACCAGAAGAGGCGGCTGCTTATGTTAATAGCAGCCCCCACACCAATTAGAAGGGACCGCCGGGCGACAGAATTGCCTTTGCCAGGAATTGCACCCAATCGGTCAGGGAGGGAGAAACGTCTTCCCGAGGTTACGTCGCGAGGTTACTTCGCCCTTTCAGTGTCCCTCCTGCTTTTTCCCTTCAGAATAGACCTAATTCACATGGAAACGTCAACCCTTCCCCCAGACAAAGCTTTAAAAAATTGGGGCGCATGGTTTCCAGTAAAGCCACTTTAAGTGCAGCTCTTCAGATTTGCCACAATGCAAAAGACAATTAGCCAACACCACACACACAACATCGCGAGGACAAATAGCCGAGCAAATAGAGCGAGTCGCTGGGTGATTTCGTTAGAAACAATGTTTCCAATAGAGAGGGTTACAGCAAAGTACCAAACTCAGCTACCTACCCTCGGCCCTTCTAATAAACAGTTACCACTAGTTATTGTTCCAAAAATCCCCATCTTCTTGAGCTCCTAATCTGCTCGACACCTGGAGCTGAGCTCCAAATGACTCAGGGAGTCCAGATAATTAACTTGAAGGAGAAAATGGGATCCGAATTAGTTTTGACACTTAAATAGGGGGATGTAGGAGTCGTCATTTAATCTCTCTTTGGCTTCCAGAAACTACCCTCTGGCCATTCTGTGTCCCCCCTCCCCCTCTTCAAGGATTTGATGAAAAGGAAAGTCTACTCTGGCTGCTGTGAATCTGCATTTTCCAAATCTTTTATTGGTCAAATTGGCCCAGTTATGGAACATCTTTTGACTTTGTTTCCCCATATTTAAGAACAAAGGGCATAAATGCTTGACACAACTATATAGTCACTCTCTGGGACATCCACCCACACTGGTGCCTAAATTCAAGGGAAGTTGCATACCACCACCATCCAAAACAAAAAAATTGGACTTTTTACACATTGTAGCAGAATATTCATTTTGTTTTTCTTTTTTAAGGCATAGCATTGTCAGCTATTTAAAGCAGATTTAATGATTTACGTTTCCTGGCTTCCTTCAACAGTCCTTTAATTTTACCCCAATTTCCCAGACAGAATTTACATGTAACTACTGGCCGTGTTAAGGAACAACTGAATCCTTTAAACGATAAAGTTTTAAAAATTGCTTCCTGATAAATTCCCAGACTAAAGAAATAGTAGTTACCAGTATGTGAAGTTTAAAGTACTCATTTAGAACACTGTTAAAGTCTTTACTTAGACAATGTCCAGCAGTCTGCAATTTCACCATTAGGAAGAGGATCTTTGCCCATTTCTATATAATAGAGCAAAGATCTGATTTTATAGTGTTTTCCTTATTTTCAATTTAAGGAAGATGGAGATACATTCCTTCTTGTCTCCTGTTTACTGTTCTGAGATTTTACAGATGGCTACTGTATTGGGTATAATGATGTTGCCTAGATTTTCAACTGGGGGGGTTTGAGAGCCAAGGGACAAAATGTAATGTGTTTTCAAACTTCAGCTTTGTTTATACTGTAACTTTCACAAAGTATGTCCTTAAAACTCTATCCTTGTACAAAATGCATCAAAGAGACGGTGGAGACTGGGGGATTTTTGAGGTTGTATTAGGATTTGCATCTTCAAGGGTCCCTTTCAGTGCTGCTGCCTAAGGTGCCAAGGACTGGCCCCGTCTTCTCTCCCTCTTTCTGGTTTTGCTCTCCTCGGTCCTTTTGCCTTCTTTCCCCCTTCTTGTGTTGTCTTTTCGTTCTTTGCAAGTTTCCCACGCACACAGCGTGTTATCTCCGAAAACCCACGAAGAGATCCAGCCTAACTCTTCTTACCTCCCGTGGAGAGGGCAGAATGAAAGAGATATTGTTTTAAAGGCGCTAATTAAGATCCAGTCTTCAGTTTCTTCATCTTCGCCCTATTTTTCTTGGTAAGCCTAGAGATTTTATTTTCACTAGGGTGTGCTCCCTTGTCCCCTGTCTCCAAGCATTTGTGTGATAATATATTTAGGAAAACCACGGCTATCTTTTCCTTGTCCTTCGAGCTTCTGCTCTCTCTTAATGGTTAGGCAATGTCTGCTGTATTCCCCTTATCCTTCTCTCAGTCCCTGATTCCCGCCTCATACCCTCTTGTCAGAGCATCTATCAATGTGGTGTCGATCACAGCGACGGCGGCTTTCTCTTTCATCTTCCTTCCCCTGCCTGAGCCAGGGAGAGTGGGAGGCGTTAAGGAGGAGGGGGAGAGACTGGCTGAGGTAGAGGAGTGGGTGGGTGGGAAGGGGACTAGAGAACAGATACTTAGATGGTGAAGTTAAACCATTCAGGCAATGTTTTTTGTCAATTTCACGCGGGCAAAGCGTGCCTCGCCGTGGGTTACTAGCTGCGCCGGGTCCTTCCTTTTCTCGCCAAGTTGCCTGATTCTTCCCTCCAGGCGCGCGCGCGCGCACATACACACCCCAAAACTAGGACTGGTCCTACAGGCTCTGGGAAAAGAAAACGGGGGGGAGAAAAAGCCCTCAATCACCACCTCCTTCTCGCAGACTCCCTCCTCCCCTCCAGCGGACAGCCAAGGAGAGCTGGAGGCGGGGGAGGGGAGGGGGAGGAGAAGCGACGCAAGTGGGTAGCTTTTCAGCGCCGGCGAGGCGCGGGAGGAGAAGCGGTGGGGAGGCTCAGCCGCTCACCTGCGGGGCAGGGCGCGGAGGAGGGACCCGGGCTGCGCGCTCTCGGGCCGAGGAGCCGGGACGCGCCCGGAGCCTTGCACGCGGCCAAGCTCGGGGCGTCTCCTCCCCTCGGCTGGGCGAACCCAAGGGGCGCAGCTCTTTGCTTTGACAGAGCGGGCCCGGCGGAGGCGTGGAGAGCGGCGAGCGAGCGAGCCAGGCTGAGAAACTCGAGCCGGGAACAAAGAGGGGTCGGGCTGCGTGTGTGTATCGGCTTGAGCTCCGGGCAGAAGCTTTTGGGCCCGCGGCCCCTGCTGTGACTCTCCAGACCTCGGTGTGCCCTCCACTGCCAATTCCCAGTTCTTGCCGGTACAAACTTTTCCCTTGGCAAACTTCTCTTTCTCTTCTCCCCCTCCTCGGCCCCCGCCTTCTCCTTCTCCTCCAGCCGATTAAATGAGCCTCGAGAAGGAAGACCGCAGCGAAAGGGAAGGAAATAAGAAGCTCTAAAACGGACATCTCCAGCCCGGGTGGCTTTTTTTATTGTATTCTTTTTAAATACTTCAGGAAGTGAACATTTCGTTATCTTCTCATTCTCCTTGCACCTCCTCCACTGGAGCAAACGGAGCCTTTTCGCCTAGCTTCTCTCTCTTTTCTTGGAAAACAAACTGCTGTCTCGGCATCTGGGGAAGCTAAAGTGGAGAGGTTTGCACGGAGACGCCTGCCGGACCCTCCTCAGCACTTTGGGAAGTCGTGCAGCCTTCAGCACCGGCGTCCTCAGCGCCCAAACCCCGGCGACGCGGGGGGCGTGAAGTGGCAGCCGGGGCCAGGGTAGCCTAGCCTAGCCTAGCGCGCACCGCGCTGCGCAGACGCCCCCGGAGGCGCCGGCAGCGGCTGCCCTCGCAGTCCAGTGCCCTTCGGCCTCGGGGGCGGGCGCCGGCTTCGGTCTCAGCCTAGCGGGGAAGCGCGAGCGGCCGCGGGGACTCGGACGCCGCCACTGCTGCTCCGGCTGCCCGCCGGCGGCCCCGCGCTCGCCACCCCGCTTCCGTCCGCTGTCCTCCCGCACACACTCTTCCAACTCTTTTCCCCCAACCCGGTTCCTGCTGTCGCCGCGGGTGCTCTCACTGCGGAGCGGAGATTACAGGGCCGTCGGGATGCCCCAACTCTCCGGGGGAGGCGGCGGCGGGGGGGACCCGGAACTCTGCGCCACGGACGAGATGATCCCCTTCAAGGACGAGGGCGATCCTCAGAAGGAGAAGATCTTCGCCGAGATCAGTCACCCCGAAGAGGAAGGTGATTTAGCTGACATCAAGTCTTCCCTGGTTAACGAGTCCGAAATCATCCCGGCCAGCAACGGACACGAGGTGAGCGGGCCGCTGCCCTCAGCCCCGAGAGGCGTGGGGGTCCAGGGCAGCGCCGAGCGGGAGGAAGGGAGCCGAGGCGCCTGGCAGCCCGGCTGACAGGTCGCGGGGAGATCTTTCGTTTGTTGTGGGGGTGGGGGGTGCGGCTGGGCCCCGGGGCACCATCCCCCGTGTGGGGGCTGGGAGGTGGGAGAGTGTACGGGGAAACTTATTCTGAGTGGGTAAGTTTAGGGGTTCGGTGGCTAAATGGTTGGCTTGCAAGCAGGAAAAGCTGCCCTTGACCCGTAACTTTTCTCCTCCGGACTTTCTGGTGGGGCCAAGGGTGCGATGCATTGAAGCGGGCGAGTTTAAACGGCACTACCGAGAAGTTCTTCCGTAGGGCGGAAAACAGAGTGCGCCCGCTTGCTCTCTCGGTGGATGTCTGCAGAGTGCGTTAAACCACCAGAGGCTTAGATGGAGGCGAGGGGAGAAGGGAGGCGGCGTGGGCCGGGGGCAGGCGGAGCCGTCCCAACCGCCGCGGAGCCGAGCCGGGCCGAGCCACGCGAAGCCGGCCAGCCCCAGGGCGCGCGCCCGGGCTGCGAGGGCGGTGCGGGGCTGGGTCCCTGCGGCTGCGGGAGCTCCAGCGCCTGGACCCGCCGCCGGGAGCTGTGGGCGCGAAGCCGGGCCGGTGCAAGGGCTGTACCGCCCGCAACAGTTTTCTCCAACCCCCATCACTTAAAGAAAAAAAAAAGTCTTTATTTGGGGTTAGTTTGGGCCCAGATCAGGCCTCAAATCTATGCAGACGAAAGGCGAGCCAGAACGGAGAAGCGGCGGAAGCCGGGCACCAGGCAGGCAGGGTAGAAAGCGCTTTATCAGATCTTCTGGCCCGCTGCGGGCGATAGCGCTGGTAACCTGAGTAGAGTAAATAGAGACACGTGGGTGCCGGCTAGAGAAAGTCCCGAGCTGTGCGGAGCGGGAGGCCTATTTCAGGTGGCGCCCTGAGCTTGACGTGGTGCGGAGGCGGGGGGCATGGACCCCGGTAACCCACACTCGGCTGGCCACACTCTTCTGCAACTGGGCAGCCCTTTGGAGGAAATCCGGTAGAAAAGTTCTGACACCAAGTAATTTCGCTGACGCTTTTTCTCTCCAAAGAAACTTGGAGGGTATACCATTTTTTCCTTAAATGGCATCCTTCTGCCCCCAAAAAGAAAGCGTGCGGTTTTGGGGGCGGGGACATTTTGGGTTTTAAACAAAAAGTTTAAGAACACACCTCAGAGTTACCTTCTCCATCCCAATGGCAGGGGTGAGTATGCATTTTGGAAGGCTGGGGGGGGGGCTGGGTTCAGAAAACATAAGGGTATTTTTTATCGGACGAATCCAGTTTGAGGAGCACGAGGAGGGGCCTAGGGCTGCACTAAACTGCACGAAAACGATTTCTGACTGTGTGTGCTGGGGAGATGAGGTCACTGTGAGGACAGAGGTCCAAGGAACCAAATCACACCCCCCAAACACTCAGTCTTTTTGCCAAACTCTCATACCATGCATTGGTAGAGCAGCCTGTTTTTCTTTTTATACCCATTTTTGCTTGTTGTCCTTCCTTAGTCCATGAATAATTTTGCCACCCACTTTACATTTTCTCTGCTTTTCTGGTCTGGGTGAAGGCTGTTCCTTGGACTGGAGAACTCAGGAGTTGGGGCTCCTTTAGACTTTGCTGCAGTGGTAATGGGCATGGGCAGACCCAAGGAAGATGGTGAGGAGGTAATACCACTGATTTGCACGTGGTTGAGTTTGGGTGGATGGTGGTTACCAAAACTGATATTAACTGGGCTACCTTTTAGATGTCTATAACCCAACTCTCAAATTTTCCTCCCTTTAAACCACAGAACAATTCTAATTTTCTCTTGTAACCCTGCACTTAGCCATGGCAGGTTGTAAGTCTGAATGGAGCTCCTGCTAGGACTGTGCTCAAGACAATTGGCTTGAGACCTCATCTGAGTGGTTGGCTTATTTATGTTTAAAATGCCATTTTCAGCTGTGAAATGATATTTCACCCTGCTTTTAATAAGATCTGATTGAAGTGAATGATGGTAGAAGAGGCTACAAAAATGATCAACCCCATTAATAACTGTCATATTTGAATAGCCTTGATATGTTTTAATAAACAGCAGTCAGAACAGCATATGGATCTTTCCCAAATTTACTGTATTTTTATTATTTTTGTGGTGATTTATACTTTCTAGTCCTGGGTAGATTAAAATAATCATTCAAAAATACATGTTGACAAGAAAAAGATTCCCCAGTACTCAACCTGAGTCTGTCCCTCTTAGATTAATAAAACAGATAATTTTGTACCATCACTCTTCCTCTGAGTTACCAGTGGACACACACTTACATCATTACACAAACTCTAAGGTGATTTTCTTTCTTTTGGGGGTGGGGATTTGTGGTATTAGGTGGCGAGACAAGCACAGACTGCTCAGGAATCCTACCACGACAAGGCCAGAGAACACCCTGATGACGGTAAGACTCCAATGCTGCTGCTCCCAACTTAATCTCTCTGTGTGTGAGTGTGTTTAAGGACTTAAGTTCAAGAAACTTGGACCAGGTGTGATAAAACTGCACCTCCTATTTTAATAAAATGGGAAAGAAAATCCAGGACACTTACCTAGTTTGCATACTACGCAATTTAAAAACTGTCTTTGAAAGAGTTGGGGGCCTTTGGATTTCATTTGGCTTCCAGAATGATGGGGAAGAGAGAATGTCTGTAAAGAGTTCTTTCTTTTCCTCCTTCTACCTTAAGTTCTAATTAGCTTAGATATTTGATATTTTTTCACTCATTAATATGAAGACTATTTTTCAAGGAGAATAGTTTTGGGTGGATTTCATATGCAAAATTGCTGTTTCTTATTTCTTGTTACAGTCCGAAGGCATACAGTGAATGAATAGACTAAACATGACTGAGCAAAGTAGAACCTAATCTGTAAAAAGATAAAATTTAAAATTAGGAACTGTGTACATCAAATGTGATAGACTTTCCCCCCATTTCTGATTCTTGCAGAAAACTTTAAAAAATTACATGTATTTTTAGATTCAAAAAGAACTTCTTGTGATTTTAAAGAATCGAGTAACCTGTAGGACAAGCCTGCATTCTGCTCTCCTTCAATTACCTAACGATTGACCTGACTAGAATGAAGTATTCCTACATACAACATGTCAGTCAGGAGAAGGGAAAAGAACTACATATCATGGTTTCCTTCATAGTTTCAAAGTAGTACAGTTTCAAAGTATGCACACACATGCACACACACGCACGTATATATGTATGTACACTGAACGCAGATTTCTGTGGCAGAATGATGTAAGGGTAGCACATAAAATTAAGCTTTCCAGATTTAATCCTCTATAAATTTGAATAGTTGCCTGTATACTGGCTACAACTCTTTCTCTGAGTAAAATGTAGACATTTTTTAGAACTTGAAAAGCACAGGTAGAATTTTTGAGTTTGCCTGAAAGGAGAAGCATAACTTCAAATGTATTAGTATATGTGTGCATGTAGATAGATGGCTCAACATATTAACATTTACAGCTTTAGGTTTGTATGTGTTTCTTTAAGTATCTATACTTTTTAGTCCAGTGTGTTAGTTTTAGAACAAATTAAGATATATGGATAACAGTTACTTTTATAAAAACATCAGTGTGTAGTGGAAGTACTGTTTGAACCACATGTTTTTAAAACATTTAGTTTGCTGCTAAGCCTTTAAGAGAATACTGTCAATCTAAAATAGAGCATGATAATCCAGTTACAGTATTTTGTAAACAAATCTTTTATGTGAGGTCTGATTTGTCTTAGAACTAACTGTTAGAGTCTCAGAGGAAAAATACTGTGATATAAAAGGGAAGTCAATGTGTCATTGATTGTTCTTTGGATTCTCCCAGGAAAGCATCCAGATGGAGGCCTCTACAGCAAAGGACCCTCCTACTCAAGTTATTCTGGTTACATAATGATGCCAAATATGAATAATGACCCATACATGTCAAATGGATCTCTTTCGCCACCCATCCCGAGAACAGTGAGTAACAAATTAATGTTGCAAATTGTTTTCAGAAGTGCAAATTAGTTTGTATTTTGGCAGGATGTTTATCTTTTTGAACTCACTGGAAGTGCTTTCATTATATATGACTGGTCCTTGCTAACAAAGAGCTATTTTGAGGAATGGTCACCTGAAGATAGTACTACCTTTGATAGCTTGCAATGGGAACTTAAGCTTTTGGCTTATTTACTAAAATTTGTAAACAACAAACATCATGAGTTATAAAATCAAATGAAGTTACATCAATAAATCTGTGATTTTATGAGGCATGTATTTTCTGTCCTAACGAAAGAAAAAATTGATTTAATCTTTTTTATGCCAAGGACTGTATAGCTTTCAGTGTCTCTAAGCTGTCTGGAATCAGAATTGCTTCCGCTTATTTGGAGCTAAAAATTCAGAAAGTTACTTTGCCTTTTAAAACAGTGTCTCATTTTACTTTATTAGCTAATTGTATTTAAGATCTTTTAGGGGGGGCTATTTTTACTTTATTATCGGTGGTTGAGAAAGTATCACTTAAAAGTACCCCCAGTGAAGTTGTTCTTTTTTTATCTTGTGGTTCAGTTACTTTTAAAGTTTTAAAAAGTGCAGTGGTGGCATTATAACTGTGTGATGCAAGTAGGTAACAAAATGAAAGATGTCAGGTTTGTTGGTTCAGGTTTGATGGTAGTTCTGTTTTCTCCAGAAGGATAAACCTCATTTATACAGTGAGAAGACATTTACATGGTAACTTGTATGGTATACGAATGTGAACTGTGCTGGTGATAGAGTTTTGAGTTCTCTTTGAGAATCTCTCCTCAAGCATAGTGATGGATATTTACTGATCTATCATTATGTTTACCTTCGCTCCTGGCCCACTTTGCCTCCCTAGCCCACCCCTTAAGGTAAAACACACGGTGCTATAGGTCTTGGCGATGAGAGTTTCAGTTTCACTGACCCTTCTGGCTGTCAGATCCTAAATGGTAAAATGTAACCTGTGGTGTTTGACTTCTTTGCCAGTGCTTTTTCACCAACTGAAAAAAATCAGTCACATCTGGAAAGAGTAGTGTCGTTAATACAACTCAGTGAATAGAATCTGGGTGCGAGAAGATTCACTGAAGGAGTGAGTAGAGAGGAATGGTTCATAATCAATAGTTACCATCAAGATTGTTTGTGGTCATCTTGATTATCTGGGGTCTTTGATTGTTGAAATAATAAGTGTATGAAATATAATCACTTTGTGTGGGCACTGTGATTTAGAAGTTATTATTTTTCCACAAATCTCAAAAAGGTATTTGACCTCTCAGACAAGGGAATACGCGTTTTCCAATTTCCAGATAGCAGTTAAAACAGAGGGGATCTTGGAGATCTTGTGATAGTTGCTATAGGAAATAGCTAGACCATACTTTGTTTTAAATGATTTTCAAATATTTGATGATATGGATGTCTGTGGTACATACGAATCTCCTACCTAAAAAGGGAGTGGATTAATACAAGCAAATACAGTTTAACATTTAAAGACCACCTGAAATAAATGCTTCAGAGTTACAAACGTTGTGGGAAATTTTATATTTATTGAACTAAATATGCAAATATATATTTCTTTTATATTTGAGCAGATTTTTTGTTTTTTTTTCATGGAGAGAGGGGAAAGAAAATATGTTTAAGACAAGAAATAATTGAAGATTTTTGTTGAAAGCCTTTTCAGAAAAAATAGCTCTTTTCAAATCAAAGTATAGTCTTGGTTAACAATAGAAAATAACCACTAAAACAGGGTTACACTTTTCAATTGGGATATAGTTAATGTGTATTTGTAGAATTTATTTCTTAAGGAGATCAGCCACTTCTCCTTTCAAAACAATCATTTTTTAAAAGTCAATATAATACAAATTTATTGGTATTTATAAATAATCCCTAAGCATGTTGGAAATCAAGCTGCTTTCTCTTGAATCCAAAATGCTTCCTTCCATCTCCACAGTCTTCGCCCACTCTGTCAAGGTACTAATCATTTTGAAATTTTCATAGAATAGAAGGTATTTATTGTTAGTGTATGTATTAAAATTTTGAGGTCAGTGAATCAAACAGTCATTCATTGTTTAGGAAAGATTTGTGGCTAGAATAAATGTCAGCAGTGGTGGGTGTCAAATGGAGGAAAGGGGTGTGGTCAGGAAACAGTTACCTTACCCTGTTATCTGCTGCTTTGCTTTATTCTGTTACATATTCGACTGTACTTAGGTTAGGCATCTTTTTTTTTTTTTTTTTTTTTAGATATTCTGCAGTTTGCACAATTCCAGAAGCTTCTCAGTTTTAACCACAAGACTATGTCAATTTTTATTTTAGGGTCTGACCAAAGTGAGTTACAATCTTTGGTTTTTAATACCTAACAGCTGTTTTTAATGTGTCTGAGATCAAAAACACTTTAACCGGAAGGCAGCCTCTCTTCTTCACCCCTAACCACACTAAGGCCTTCTTGTTCTTTAACTCTGTCCTTAGCAGGACTGAGTGTTTATGTCATTGACATCCACCATGATAGATCTTCATCTAGGGTGTCAGGAGCAGGGTGACCATTTGTGTTTGGGCTTAGGCTGAGAGCCCCCTCCCCCCCACTACTTGAATTTGCATTACAAACAGTGGCATGTTTACTGTTTCTGCCACTCTTTTTGTTCCACTGGGAAAACGTCTGCAGGTAGGGGAGGGACTTGACCACCTCTTTCCCCATATAGAGTCTTCCCTTCGTATGTAACTACAGGTAATCCAGAGAATACCAGCTGTGGCCAACTGGCAGACACAGAAATGTTTCTGCTGAAATCTCATTTTAACAAGTCCATATGTCTTTGCTCCTTTTGAAGACAAACACTGCCCTGTGTATGCTCACACAGCTTTTACCTGTGTATGCTCACACAATAATGCCTATTCAGGAGAACCACCTTCACCAATCCAGCCTTTTTCCTTCGGAAGGCTAATTTTAATTGATGAATCTCATCTTTCTAGAACTGGAATTCTTAGGGGTGTGAATTTGAAATAAAAAATTTTAGTTTGGATAAATTGAACCTGAGAAGACAGCATCTGTCATAACACATGGAATGTCAGCATAAGTTCTTAAGGCGCAGTACACCTCAGCTTGAGTTGGTGTTCTTCTCATTCTCTGTGAAGAAGATGCAGAAGCCTGTTAAATATTTTAGAGTGAGGACCCGAGAGGGTTTATTAAAAGCATACCCTCAAACCTTTCATTCACTAAACCTTAGCTATGAAAATCCCTCTAGGCTAATGGTAAAGTATTAGAAGAAAAAAATAGTTCTTTATATCCCTGGTCCTGGCAGTTATGTGTTTGCACATAGTGTCTACAGTGAGCTCAACTGGCTTTAACACAGTGAAAGTTCCCTTGGTCTAATGCACATGGTTATTTGTCTTAGATGTGAAACTTCCATTTGGCCATCCTGCAATCCAAATGGTTAACACCTTAGAAGAGAAACATGGCATTGCTCTTCAGATGTGTGGGGAGGAGACAGTGGCAGGCAGTGCAGGAAGTTGCAGCAAACGGCTGCTGCGCAGCTCAGACATACCAAACCACAACAGCACCTGGTCATCTTGCAACCTGCAGTGCCTCACCGGGGTTCTCTGTGATCTTTCTTAGAGTCAGTTTTTAGGTGGGAAAGGAGGTTATTTGTGTTCTCATTTCATTCAGCTGGAAAGGAATGTATTTGTGTTCTTGTTTCAGCGGTCTTTTTAATTTTCTTTTTAAGTAAAAATTACTATGAAAACGTTCCAGAAGTTCTTTTGAATTATTCTGAATACCTTCTATTATATGACTTTTACTTTAAGGGCATTAACATTTTGGTTTCTGATCGACAGAATTATGCCTATTATCGCTTGGTCTTAACACTCCTACCCCCATTTCTGTTCGCTTATAAGGAGCTAAAATTTGTCGTTTGTATCTGGAATTAAGGAACACAAGTGGACTTGTGTTGTCAGTAAGCTTTTGAATACAAGTATACATCACATTGTCACATAGCTCTGAAAGTAATCAGAAATAATAATTCAAGAGTAGAGGGAGACTGGCTTATAATTTTTAATTTTCTAATTTAAGTTGTATACTTTTTGAAGCTAAGTCTACCAAGTTTTCTCTTCTATCTCAGGTATAGGACAAGTTTCTGGAAGTATATTCTATCTCAGATTTGGATTTAGATGTCAGGAGAATGAGTGGGAAAATTACTTAGAGCCCCCAAATTTTTCTATTTGATCTCTTCTTTTATTTATTTATTTTTTAAATTATTTTTAGAGACTGGTGCCGTTCTGTCGCTCAGACTAGAGTGCAATGGTGAGGTCACAGCTCATTGCAACCTCACCTCCTAGGCTCAGGTGGTCCTCTTGACTCAGCCTCCCCAATAGCTGGGACTACAGGCATGCCTCACCACACCTGGCTAACTTTCTTTTTCAGAGGCAGGTTCTCACTATATTGCCCAGGTTGGTTGTGAACTTGATCTCTTCACTACATATGCTAAAGCTATTGCTTAGGTGATTATCCTGAGCCAAGCCAGTCCATAGGTAGTTAACTGTGTAGTAATGAAGAGATTTAGTGTTGCTTCATGCTAGCCTGACATATGCTTACTTAGAAAAGGCAGCCATTTGGGCGGAGCCTGTGGCTCAAGTAGGAGAGCGCTGGCCCCATATATTGGGGGTGGTGGGTTCAAGCCTGGCTCCCACCAAAACTGCAAAAAAAAAAAAAAAGGTAGTCATTGGATATTACTCAGATAATTAAAAATTTATATTTTAGGTTCATTATTACTTTTTAAATATTATGATTATAAGAATCATATTATGATTCATATATAGGAACTGTATACTCTGCTATAAGCCCTTAAATCATTTTAGGCACATAAATGATCGCTCTCTAAGATTCAGAGGCTTAAAACCTGAAAATGATCTAAAGACCAACAACACAGATAGGGGATGATGTGGGTGTATAGAAGGTTGCAATATACCAAAGAAGAGTGTGGAGTGGG